TCGGAGAAAACTTTTATAAACGATTTGACCCCTCAGAGACGCCTTTCACATCCCCTTAACTAGGTTAGCGACCTTGTCGATACCGATACTTATCGACCGCGTCGATATATATCGGCCTTTACTCTCCTTTTCTCTCTTTTTCATGAATTATATCCTAATTATAATTCTGAAGAGGTTCTGTACTCTGAGTTAATAATATTATCTCAGTTATCGCATTACATGCCGAAAATCGTTTTTCGTTGGTTTAATTTTAAATATGGCATTGAAATTTACATATCGGTTGATAATGTGAATTTAAATTGCAGTGGAACTCGGATAATATCTCCATAAAGATGGGAATAAAGGAGTCTTTCAATCTATAGGTAATATCTGGACTTAACGTGGATCAGTTTCGGCATATGGTCGCCAGGTGGCAGCAGTTGTAGAAAGCGACAAAACTCGAGGTATGTATACTCTCTATTAATCTCACTACTCTCTAGCAAAAAGCATCGCATCCTATTATTGAATTTGATGGCAGCAGAGAGAAGATGAGAGTAGCCAGGCCCAAGGGGACACAGCTATCAAATTTTTGTGACACAAGCGCCGATATTCCTGCGGATGCCACTTGTACCCAAGGCACCGTTTCAAAAATAGGACGAAGATTAAAGCGTCATCTCTGATTCAAACCGGTTACTCGAGGCATCGAATTAATGAATAATAAATTTAAAATGAATAACCTCCTGGGGGTTTGGTTTCCGGCAACCATCGTATTCGGGGACGTAATAATAATCTTATTAGAAGAAGAAGAGAATTACATGATGCCTCAGACCCCATTTTCAATAGCAGAAAGAGAATTTATTAAGATGTATGTACAGGTTAGTTTTTGTTATTGCGAGGTTATATTACATTATTAAACATCGAAAACTATAAATTAATTCATGCTTACATGACATGATAAGAAAATTATATTATTGAACTTCTAATTATAGTGCATGTAAGTATGAAAGTATGACATATTTAAAAATGATAGGTAGACTCAAGTCCTCTTCTTTACTTTTAACGGCTTTCCAAGCTTCCCGCCTTTTCTGCCTATAACCCACTATCTCTCAACCATTTTCGATTTACAAGATATGTACCTTTATTTAAAATTTTACTAGACCGGAAGTGCTAGTGATCTCGTTCTTTCATATAAAGAATACATAATTCGGCGAATAATCCCACGTAAGATGAAAGTGCGAGAAGTGAGCGCTCTCGTCAAAAATACGTAATAAATGCCTTGATGGCAGTGAAGCGGTAGTCTAGGTTCATCTGATTTCAAATATCCCGCCGTACTCGCCATATTAGATTTTAGTTCGGCCATTTTCACTATGGTGACGGTAACGCTAATTCTACGCCGCTGTCAGCGAATCTACTCCCATTTTTGATGTTTCTACTATCTGCTACTATCTTCCGAATCGCAACGGTGGCAACGCTGTTTTCAATGGCTTCGCGTTCCACTTTGATCCTGTTGTGTTGAAATAATATTTACTGTTACTGATATATAGGTTTACTTATATTTATTCGGACTTAGCATATTTTCTTTGGAATATAGTTATGTCAGAGGAAATTAAATGACGTGGCTTTTAAGCAAAGTGCAAGAAGAGTAACGGACGGTTAACAATTAGATGGTCAAAGACGAGCCCCTTTATATAGGCCATTTTGTCGCTCGTCGTGCTTCAAAGTGGTTGTTCCATCAGGGGCAAACGTTTCTATCCGGGGCACTATTCATCAGAGCAAAGCTCGGAATTTTAAAATTTTTCGAAACGTTCAACCGAAATGGTTCAGCAAAGATGGGTCGTCCTATGATGGTTATGTAAAATCTCATAAAAGTGAAAGCGAATGTAGGACATTCGCCGTAGGAAGTAACGGTGATTGAGCTCAACGCAATTTAATTGCTTTGAGTTTTAGTTCATTACTACTTGAGAAAAATGTCACAGATCATAGGTAATGATTTATAGATTTCGTAAACTTATATTATCGGTTAAAGTAACCACCTGCATTTTTTTATTCTTCTTTACATTATTTCAGAAATCGTCAAGATCGAAACTCCCATTCTGTTACAGAATGATGGGCAACCTGTTTCATTTGGTATATCGTCGTATTCTATAATATCGTCGTATTCTATAATAATGTTAATCATGACAGGCTCACTAAGTGCATTAACATCACTTTGATTTCAGTTTCTGATAACTCTGGAGACGAGCCAATGATATTTTCTGTTGAGGAAGATTCCAATAGTGCAACAGATTGTAAGTAGTGCACACGATATTTGTAACTTTAAAAATATCTTTAAATGATTCTGTTTAAGAGAAAAATATATAATATTATTGAAATGTAATCGGTTTTCCAGTATTGACTTCAAGTGGAGAAATGACGCACATTACTATGGATTTTGAGTGCGTAACTTGTCACCGTATTTTTCAAGATGAAGAGGTAAAATATTGACCATTGCAGTCACGTTTATTTCTATGATTTGATGAAGTTATGTTTTCCTTTACATTTTTTAACAGATAATTAATATTTTCAATCTTTTCCATATAGATGCTAAAGGAACATATTAATGTATGTAGAGAAGAAGATGATAACGCACTTTTAGAATTAGACAATTTAGATAATTATGATTCCAACGAGGATGACATAGATGACCCAAGTAAGACTAAAGTTAATTCTGCGTTTTTTCAAAATGGTTGAATTCATTATAATATAATCATCGATTCTAATTACAAAAATTCCAGGTCCTCAAAATATAAAAAATAACAATGAAAAATTAACGATCAAACCTGTATCTGAAAATCAATGCCACTGTTGTGCAGAAAATTTGGCTACTGCACATACTGGAGGTGAATTCAAATGCCCACATTGCGACTTTTTTTTTAAGAAGTCAACTTCATTGAACAGACATTTAGTGGTAATCCACTGGGAGAATAATCATTGCAAATGCAAAGAATGTGGGTCTGTATTCCGTGACAAAAAATCTTTGGATAAACATCGATATACTACCCATGCTAAGGATAAAGTCTACAAGTACGTAATTATTAACTATAATATAAAAAATTATCTGTTTTTATTGAGACTTATGTGCATTGATTAACTTTCAATATTTGCAGGTGTGAACCATGTGATAAATATTTCTCTAGAAGTTACCATTTAAATCGGCATAAAATGCATTCTGGTTGTCATGGTAATGTTTCTGATGGCTTTTCATGTCAAGTGAGTAAAGGATATTTATTACTTTAATGTGTGATGTAAAATATAACAACACATTTTGATCGATGGTGATGCAAATTTCATAAATTTACAAAATGCATTCACGTTCTGAATATTTTAAATAGGTTTGTAATAAGACATTTACACGCAAGGATAATTTACGGGAACACTTGCGCACTCACGTAGGAACTGTTCTGCGACAAAAGAAATCATGTAAATTTTGTAGTAAGGAATTTTATACTACTCAGCAGTTAACGATTCATGAACGTATGCATACTGGAGAGCGACCTGTAAATTGTGATCTGTGTTCAAAGACATTTTCATCCCGATTGGCTATGAAAAAACATCGGCGTGTTCATACTGGAGAAAAGCCTTTCCAATGTAAATATGTAAGTAAGATAATATTCTTACATTGCCATTAATTGGTACAGAACATTTTAAACGCCTTAGCGAAGCATGATTAAGAAAATTATTTATATACTTCACATTTCTTTTAATCCTTTCTGAATCAATTTGATTACAAGCAATCTTTATGGATACAAAGGAGATTTGGTAAATATATACATGAATATGATTCGAAATAAATATGTTGAAAGGTAAATCAATGTAACAAAATAAGTACGTATTCTGAATTAAAATTTGCATTTTAGTGTCAGAGGAAATTTGGTGCACGTGAGACATTGAAACGACATCAACGCACACATACTGGTGAGAAACCACACGTTTGTCAACACTGTGGTAAATCGTTCATTCAAGCTGCACAGTTAAAAGCTCACATCTTTCACCATACTGGGGAAAATGGCTTTTACTGTGATATTTGCGGAAAGGCATATAATCGTAAAGCCCGACTAAATTTGCATGTGAAATTTGTACACGAAGGAGCAGTACCTTTCCAATGTAAAATATGTGATAAACCATTCAACAGAAAAGAAGATTTAGTCAAACATACTTTTCTTCACTCTGGAGTAAAACGTAAGAGTTGACTGTTCTATTTACTATTTATACTGACAGCGTAAAAGGGTAAAACACACTCCATTCCTTCATTATATTTCAGCACATAAATGTGAAAAGTGCGGGAAAAGCTTTGCCATAAAATCGTCATTGCAAGCCCATTTAAATACACATCGTCATGAACCGCCACAATCATGTGCTGAATGTGGTCGTGCTTTCATTAGACAAGATTGTCTTATGAGACATATCAAAGCAAAACATCGAGATCTCCTTCAAAGTGTAATGGGTGAAACTGAAAAGCGACGCTTGGAAACTCAGTTGTTTACTATTGCCTCGTATGCTGCAGAAAAACTAAAAGCTGGAGAGTCTAATACTTTGTCCACTGACCAACTCCTGAAGTCTATTGTAGACCTGCTCGTAATGCTCATTGAGGAAGACACATTACAAGTATATCCATTATTATTCTAATTTGATTAATTTATTCTAATTATTTTCTGGTTTTAAATACTATCGATGCATTTTATTTTGTAGATGTTTGGTTGGCCCGATGCACCGATTCAAGACGTTTTGGAAGCGGTAATTAGACGTTGCGGACACCAACCATTAACATCGGATAGTGATATGCCATTTGCTGATAGACTGCGGCACAATGTTAAGCTCTTATTTGCAGCTGTCGTTGATGACGAAACGGTTAAGTCGTTATTAACAACGCAGACTGTAGATGAAGTTATGATGCATATCTTGAGACTTTCAAAAGAATCTTCAAAAAGTTGATTCAATGTCTACATGTAAATTTCATTAGCGTTAGATACGCTGTTTTTAACGATTAATTATATTGTGCATTTTGCTTTCACCAGTTGAGTGTAGGATATAGATTTTCTTTGCAAACAGCTAATGTTTTTGCATAGTTTTCCTTTATTAAGGTGGAACATGTATCATCCAATTTATGCATATTTTTCTATAGTCCAACTGTAACTGTTTTAAATTGCATTGGGCTTACAGTCAGCAGTAGAATCTAAATACGTTCAAAGCGGTAATTTGTACGTTTTTAATTCAAGAATCATCTACTTTTTATATATTTTCTCTTGATTTGCATTTAATTCCTGTTAATTCTGTATTACTTTAGTAATGTTTTCTCAAAGTCTAAAATGATTTAAATCCTGGTACATAATTTTTGTTATCCCATATTTATGTCTTATGTAACTCGATTAGTTGTTTTGTTTAATATGAATTTAACTCTGATAGTATGAACAGTAATAGTTATTATATTTTGATGTTATGACTCTAAAATTCTGCTGTAGAGTTAAAGCTTTCATAGATCATTGTTTTTCACACAACTCGAATAAGTCGATGCACTAGATACACAGTATTTCATTATAAAAGAACAAGTGGTTTCGGTATGTAGTACTGAATTAATCCTTATAGTTTTTCACAATTTCGTAATCACATTTCTGGTAACTTGATATGTAAGTTATATACAAATAAAATGATAGGTATGTTTATTATTGTTGTGAGGACGCGAAGAATAGTTGATTATATAATAAGTAAATACTACATTATTTCTTGAATCATGTACAACTACTTAATACAATAATTTACTTTTGAATCCTATGCATTTAATTACAAAATTATTTAATAACATCACTGCAATAATTTCTAAATATTTTTATTTAAAGCATTCAATCTTCCTTACCAATTGTCCACACATTCTTAATTGTCTTTCCAATGCCAGGTCCATTATAGATAAGCACAAAAAGTCCAGCAAGTGTGGCAGCAGATAAAAGGTTTAAAAGTATATGTGCTATTTTAGGAACAATAGGACCAACAACAATAGGACGTGCATAATCGATGACTACTGCCTCTAGACCCCTGTTGGTACAAAAGATAAAATTACTGGATAATGCAATCAATTACACTACTACATAATATGTATTAAAGTACTTCCATACCAGTAACTATGCATTACGATCAAGATAGCCGTTAGACCATCTACAACTGGATTTTGTAAAATAACACAAGCAGGAAGAATTGGAATCAGAGCTGTTGATAATAATCTCTCAATCTGCCATAGACGTACGTGATCGCCACCAGTAGTTGCCATTCTCAATTGACTTCCATTAACATTTGGTATTACCGGTGTCTATATCATTAAGAAAGGTAAAAATGTAAACACTATAAATTGTAGACAAATTGCTATGAAACAGAGATTAACCTGAATTGATGAAATGCAAAGGGCAGGTTTATTCAAAAGCACTTTATGGACAGGCTTAATATTACTGAAGGTCGATAACGATTTGGTGAATTGAAATGGTACAAAACTGTTTGTCGCAAATAATCCATTAGAATTTGTTAATTTTGCTGAAACACAGTGAAAAGATTAGTAAACGGTAACAAGGTATATAGAAAAGATGAACGTTCTCTTTCCTGTACATTTTCTTATTAATAGTCATAATTCGCGAATCGTATGACATAGTCTGTATTCAACTAAATAAATAAGTAAGATATTTGCACTTGATACCAATGCAAATATTACATAATGTCAAATAACCTATAAAACTTAAAACAACTCACCAGGCAAGAAGCGTAAGCTTCGCATGATTTGAGAGCTGGCCATTTTCAAAATCTAACTATCAAATTGTAGGCAAATTAAGTTAAGATAAGAAGAATCTTTATCGTTTGGCAAGCCGAAAAAGTCAATACTAAACACCTTTGGTACTGTTATGTGTGACAGCTGATTTCTACGATCACCAATTCCCTTTATAAACTTATGCGGCGGTGTATTGCAGAGACAGAGATGAATTGGGAGATTGCTCACGGGCAGGGTCGCGCGATCGCATCGTGTGCTGCCCTCTGGTTTTGTACGTGAGCTTTCACCGTTTTTTGCGCCCAAGGGCGGCGCAACAAATTTCTGACAGGGACTCACGCACTCGCGATGGCGGTGCCATCTACCAGTCGCCGCTGGC